GTGTACTATTGGCCCCTCGCATTGAGGGAAGAACATAAGTTGAGAGAGTCTGAGAACGGGGCTCGAGAGTGAATGTGTGTACTATTGGCCCCTCGCATTGAGGGAAGAACATAAATTGAGAGATTCTGAGAACGGGGCTCGAGAGTGAATGTGTGTACTATTGGCCCCTCGCATTGAGGGAAGAACATAAGTTGAGAGATTCTGAGAACGGGGCTCGAGAGTGAATGTGTGTACTATTGGCCCCTCGCATTGAGGGAAGAACATAAGTTGAGAGATTCTGAGAACGGGGCTCGAGAGTGAATGTGTGTACTATTGGCCCCTCGCATTGAGGGAAGAACATAAGTTGAGAGATTCTGAGAACGGGGCTCGAGAGTGAATGTGTGTACTATTGGCCCCTCGCATTGAGGGAAGAACATAAGTTGAGAGATTCTGAGAACGGGGCTCGAGAGTGAATGTGTGTACTATTGGCCCCTCGCATTGAGGGAAGAACATAAGTTGAGAGATTCTGAGAACGGGGCTCGAGAGTGAATGTGTGTACTATTGGCCCCTCGCATTGAGAGAAGAACATAGATTGCGAGAGTCTGAGAACCGGGCTCGAGATTATGTTTCTGAGAGCGAGGGAATAACAGGACAAAAATTGTATCATAATCTGCATTATTTGCCAGACATTCCTTGATCAAATCAAGGACAGTGAAATGGTCAGGTCATGTAGTGCGCATGAGAGAGAGAGAGATAGAGAGAGAAAAATGCATACAAAATTGTCATTGGGAAACCTGAAAGCAACCTACACTTGGATGACGTAAGCGTAGATGGTATAATGATATTAACACGAATCTTGGAAGAAATAAGATGAGAGGTTGCGGACTGGATTCATCTAGCTGAGAACAGTGACTGATAAAATTTTCTTGTCAACACTGTATTTAATATTCGGTCTCTAAAAAAGGCGGGGAATTGTCAAATATTACCCTCTCGAGAAGGACCCTGCTCGCTGTAGTTAGGTAGGTAGTTATGTGTACTGCCGCTGATAAAATTCTGTGCATCTTCAAGTTTTCTTTATATGGGTAAAGATAATTCAGCAGTCCCAATGGAAAAGAAAGAAAACATATCGATTTCTAAAGATTATATTTGCCCTGTTATTCAGGTTGAAGGGGCTAAAATTGGCTATCAGTTTAGCTGTGCCTGGGGTATGTAAGTAGGAAACATGAAGTGGAGGGTGAGGGTGGTGCAGAAAGAAGAGGCAAGATTAATTCCACTTGAATAGCACAAGTTAATAGCAGCAGTTTAGAAGCTATATAAAAAGAAAATGCATAACAGTAAAGGGGGAGAAAGAAGGAGAAAACACTAGATTTTATTTCACCGCTGCCAACATTCTGCAACCCACCCCTTTATGAATATAGACGACCCTTCTTTTTCATGCTTTTTTCTTCTTTTATTTGAGTTTTTTTGACCTACCCTGGCAATTTTCCATCCAGTATAGAGTGGCCAGGCGGGAGAGTGGCTCCCTTCTGATCTAGTCCATAAGGCTGAAGTAGGGAAATGGAATAAAAAGTATGGAAAAGGAAGAATGAGAACAGTACCGAAACAAAAGAAAATCGAGACATCTGAAGGTACGAGTATTCTGCTTTTCTGTCCACGGTTTACATATTTATAGTTGGTATTGTAAAAAATATTTTATTGGATGTCTAGATATATATTTATGATCTGCCCCTAACATAACAAATTTCACTTGTGTGCATACGGTGATCTAATAGGTGTTACCATCATGTGCTAAATACAAACTTCGCAGTGTTTTACGTAGTAAAAATTAACATTAACAAAAACTGTTACTTTCCCTCTACTTGTGTTCCTGTTTTTAATTAAATGTTAATTTCGCCTAGTTTGGTGCCAGCGCCCGTACATTTCGTGTGAAGAGAGTTCGTTTTTAACTTGATCCCTAGTCATGTATGTTTGTGGGTTCTCATATGTATCTCCCTTCTCTGTTCAACACTAGGATGCAAGATACCAACACCTCACACTCCTTGGTGAGGTGGTGTCAATTTGTAGTGACAGCCTTTTTTTTCTTTTAATTCGCTTAGTGGGGGAAGGGGGGTGGAGTCCAACTGGGTCCACTCGGCACATTGGCCACTGATTGGCCTATTGTATCCTGCCCCGGGTGATTATGATGATGGACATTTGGTGGAATGAAGACTGGCAGGGGAAACCGAGGTACTCGGAGAAATCCCTCCCCAACGCCACTTTGTCCACCATAAATCCCACTTCACTTACTACAATGAATTGCTGAGGTGTTCCTCCGCTACCAGGCATCGTATTCAAACAAAACCTGGACCCCTGATAGCCGTTCTGATTCGCTGATAACGTATGATGTTCTAACTGAAACTGTTGTGGTCTCTGTTGATTGCTGCTAACGATGATGGATGTGTGCCGTCTCACTGAAGGACCTAGCCGCCATGAAATGCAGCCCCCCCCCCCAATCATACGTCGTTAGTGAATGTGCTTGGGTTTAAAGCCTGGCTGGTAAAGACAAACTTTAAGTCGTTCAAGAAAGATCTCATGTGGAAGGAGCTGATGGTAACACGTCTGAATGAACCCTGCCCCCAGTCCAAGTCTGTTTCATAATAGCGGCCTTGGAAGATTTCCGTATTTAGGAAATTATGGTCAAAATAAATCGCGTACAGAAACAGACCTTATAAAGAATATTTTTTTCCCCTTGGCACTACAGCCCCAGTGGTCCTAGGCTTACCACCATGAACTCCGTTCACTTCGGTTTTCCTAGATCTTACACAGGTAGGACTCCTTGGGCGAGTGATCAGCTCGTCGCAAGGCCTCTGCCTGTACACAAACACAGAAAAACGCACACAAACATCCATGCCCTGAGTGGGAGTCGAACCCACGATCCCGGCTTCCGAGCGAGCGAAGACAGTGCATGCCTTAGACCGCTCGGCTACCGTGACCGGCTATAACGAATTTAACATACCAAGATGCATAATTAGATTAATAAACAAATAATAAATGTAATAAATAAATGTCTTCTGGGATGTGGCGCCGTGTAGACTGTAGCCTGCAGCCACCTGCTTACGCTGGTTACTCGCTCGCGGATTTTTCTACCCTGAATATGGAGGCGAAACTTTCTTTCGAAACGTCGGTTCACACAAGATCTACACGGCGCCACATCCCAGAAGACGGCACTCTTCATTTAATTACTGAATTATAAACAACGACATTGATTTGCGTTGGTCTCTAATTCAGTTGTAACAAAAATTTGAATTGGGTTTCTGTGTTACGAGTTGTTCGGGAGGACATCAGCTCTGAGATGCGCGAAAGTGACAGGCCTAATTATAAACAGGCCAGTGTTACTGAAATGGAATTGAACACACGACGTTAACTTAGTCACAGCACTCGATACATTTGAGCTTCGCTTACCCCCAAACTTTTGTTCCTACGGCAAAGCTACTGCACAATTTCAGAGTCCATAGCTCATGTGTAACCGAACATGCTGTACGAAAATCAACTTGTGTTTCAATATCAAAATGTCCAGAAGTTCCCAGTAGTAGTTTTCTTTTCCTGAACTAGTGGTTCGGTGAAGTTTGGTTTCAAATGGATGATGGTTTTGGCGTTGATATGATCATCTGTGTTGTATTTTAGCGTCCTGTTGCACTGATTCATATGCATAATGTGTATGTACGTGTATTAACAGTCTTCAAGTGCATACAGTCTCATTTACTACTTCTACACTACATGTTTCGGCAGTATGCTGTCATCTTCAGGACACATCCAACGATACAACGCATGCAGCCACAAGAGTAGAACACATCATAAGATACACACAACATTAGAAATATAAGAAGAACGACTCCCATGTGAATGATCAATAACACACACGAATTTAAAATATGACGCATGAGGTAATAGGTTTTAACAAGTTTTAAATATATAAACTTTATTATTATATAAGGACGTNGTTTTGGCGTTGATATGATCATCTGTGTTGTATTTTAGCGTCCTGTTGCACTGATTCATATGCATAATGTGTATGTACGTGTATTAACAGTCTTCAAGTGCATACAGTCTCATTTACTACTTCTACGCTACATGTTTCGGCAGTATGCTGTCATCTTCAGGACACATCCAACGATACAACGCATGCAGCCACAAGAGTAGAACACATCATAAGATACACACAACATTAGAAATATAAGAAGAACGACTCCCATGTGAATGATCAATAACACACACGAATTTAAAATATGACGCATGAGGTAATAGGTTTTAACAAGTTTTAAATATATAAACTTTATTATTATATAAGGACGTATACAAATTTAATGTTATTTGTAAATGGACATATAAAGGCAAGCAGTGAAATGGTTGACGGATCGATACACCTGAAGATGGCAGCATACTGCCGAAACATGTAGTGTAGAAGTGGTAATGTGATTGTATGCACTTGAAGACTGTTAATATATACACATTATGAACATGATCATCTATATTAATTTTTCAGCCGTATTTCACTCACAGCACACTCTAATCTGTCAAAGACACATGACGACATGGCACACAATTTCGCCTGACGAAAATGTACGAAAATATGCATGATCATAATTCTGTAACTGCATGTAAGTCCTAAATGTTTTATTAAGGACTGTATGTACTACTATTATACAGCTGGGTTTGCTCGATTGGACTCAGTCTGTTGCACCTGCTCACGCTGGTTCGCTCGCGGATTTCTTCTTGTCTTCTACCCTGAAGATGGAGGCGATACGTTCCTCCGAAACGTCTGTTAACACTATCTACACGGCGCCGCGTCCCAGAAGACTGCTTTCTTCAAAGTCACCGCCTTGAAAACCTCAAATCTTACATATCTGTACTGGTCTTTCACATTCATTTCACTGTTCATTCACATTACAGGGCGATCAGTGATGTACTTTAAGAAGTTTCTGTCATGTCTTCATAACACTGAAAATTTATGAAGGGGTAGTAACGGTTGATCACTCTTGTAGCAGGTGGCAGATGTTAATGATGCTGGAACCAACGATCATTTGGCTTCTGCTTCAAACCCGACCTCATCCTCTCGCCGAGGCCAGTTGATGCATAATATGGGTCAGCTGTGGCTCCGTGCTGAAGTACGTGATTTGGAGTCTCGGGTTCGACATCGATGTGCCACCTTTTCCCCTTACCTGGCTGTGGACAGTGATGCTCTCATTCATCACATGCATTTAGTGAAGCAGTTGGTTGGAGCTCGGAAATTCATCATCCTTATTCCATCAGTTGGTACGTACATGTTTTAATCTTTGGAATTTTTTTGTAAGGGAACTCAGTAGGACATTCTCTGCCTGCCATGCTCTTTGTGTGCCAGAATCTATTAACATGTGTTGAAGCGTATAATTGAATGTCAATGTAACACTGAGGCAGCTGCATCCTGTTTATCTCCAAATTCTTGATCCATAACACCAATAATAATTCAGCTCATTTCATATACTGAAGTGCTGTACAACAGCTAAAAGACAGTTGCAGACAAGCACTGAAGAAAAAAACGTTAATGTAGAAGCTTTCAACAAACGACAAATGGATGATGAAGAAGAGAGAATACACAAAGAACACAATACTGAAAACTAATTAAGTAACACTAGGAGCCTGAACAAAGAACCTTAAATATTATTTTGTGACTGCCTCTGTGGTCTAGTGGTCAGAGTTCCTAGCAATAGATCCAGAGGTCCCGGGTTCGATTCCCGGCGTTATCAGGTTTTCTGAAAAGTACTGGGTCTGAAATGGGCTCCACTCAGCCTTGTGAGGATAACTGAGGAGCTATTTCAAGGAAGTAATAGGTCCAGTGTAGAAAACCGAGATTAATAGCTGTGGGGATCCGTTGCGCTGACCATGCGACACCTCTGGCCGCTGAAGTTGTCACTAACTTTGCCGACAAGCGGCGGTCGCTCAGTCGGATAGTTCGCATGAAGACTACAGGCCATGGAGATTGTTTTTTTTTTGTTACTGTTTTAACAATATCTATTAAAGAAGAGCACACTTTTAAAAATATGAGTATATCTGAAGACAGCATTTGCCACAGAAACACATCTAGTTGAGTAACTGACCTTTGCATAATGGCAAGCAAACTCCAGAAGTTGAAAAGCCTCTGATGCATTAGTAGATACACTTAAACTAAGGGTATCAAAAATGGATGAGCAACTAAGTTTGTTTCCTGAAGACACCAATGAGAAATAAAGCATCAAGGAATTGCCACCTAGACTGTAGTGTTAAAAGATTCATTCTAACTAATACGTCATCTCTGTTATCACAAGTGCTATTAAGAAGTTTGATATAACATTAAGGCTGCAGATTTTCTTAAAATTCTTTCAAGTTTACAAATCAGTCAGTGTAATGGAGGTGTAGGCAGCAGTAGTATACGCAAGCCAGATCGGATTAGAGCATTATACAAAATTGTAACAGTGGATAGTCAAGAAGGAAAGTGTAATATGATGAATCAGACGTAACATCTTTGAGTAGAATCTAAAGGGCTTTAACGATGGTGGATAACACACAGAATAACTGGGTTTTTGGACTTTTTCCATTGTCCGGAATTCTAGGAAATAGAAAACATGACGTTTTGGAAGCTAGATCTGTTTCCGTCTTCAGGTGAAGAAGGAAGACATGTACTCAGTTGGCCCCCTTAGAAAGATCTCACCTGAAGATTGAAACAGATCCAGTTTCCGAAATGTCATGTTTTCTATATCCTAGAATTCCAGACAATGGAAAAAGTCCAAAAACCCAGTAATTCTGTAACATCTTTGAGCTTTGTGAAAAATGTGAAAAATGATTGAAACATGGTTTGCATGTGTGACAGTTCAGGAATTTGTTAGGCCATATAACCATATGTTTTATTGTATTTTGTTTAAAAGAACAAGGATGTATATCAAAATGTTTTCATTATCCATGACCATTAATGGAACTACATTGATATTTCAATTATTGTGTCATGAATGTGTATATTTTCAGTACTATACCTTTTGGCTCTAAGTATAAAAGTTTAATTGCCTCTTATATTGATAAGTTCCCAAACGCTCTTCCAATTGAAAAGGTACTTCGCGTATGAAGACATTTCATGTAGTGGAATATGAAAACTGAAATGTGCCTTAGGTGGCAGTGTTGGTCATCCCTATATTAGCATTGGTTCTAACCGCACTTATTCCACTTTGGTCTTTATCACTTTTCAGTATTTTGTACAGGTATATTTCACTTTTAAATATTTATATCTTCTACATATCACAAACTAGAATGACTGGGACAATGTGTTAATATGTTATGGAACACTCAGTTGTTTCAGCACTGGATGAACTGAAAAGAGAGATTGGAAGGGCGCGTGAGACCATCCGTTGGCTTGAATCGCAGTTCCAGAGAGGTAACCGTTTTCTGCGAGCCCAACGTTCACATGAGCGACTTCCTATACCTCTCATCAAGTACCCCAAGAAGAAAGATAAAGAGGCGTGGTGAGCTGATTTTATTTCAGTTATATATATTTAAAGTGGAAGATTTGATTGAATATGGTTCTTGTGTAAAATGTAAAATACGTTAAAAACGTTTATACAACTTAGAAATTTTGATTTAGTTTTGTAGTTAGAAAAATACTAGTACTGTTATAAAGATTGTGACCTGGAATGTGATGCCATGTAGCTTGGTACAAAGGTACCATTACAGAAAAATCTGCTGCCTCCGTCTTCACGCTTCTTTCCTGAAGATGGAGGCAGTAGGTCCTTCCAAAATGTTGGAACCTTTGTACCAAACTACACAGTATCACATCCCAGAAGGCTAATCTTAATATTCACTACCTTAAGATAACTTTGAATCTCATGGAATTGTCTGACTAGGATTTTGCAAGCTGTTTCATGTGTAAATTAAAATGGAATGTGATAATTCTATTGTTGCTACCCAGCTATTACTTCAGAGGCAGTGAGACAGTCAGTGTTTCATAAGGCTGCTCTCCCACTGGTGTAATTGGTTGCATGCAGCCCATCATCTGAAATAAGTTGCACTTTGCACTCATACATTGAAGTGACCAATTGAATAATTAGCAATGAGCACACAATTAGAGTACCACCTCACTGTTTCTGTGTGACTATGCAACTGATCACCCTCAGCTATGTTAATGAAGTATTCTGCTGTTTGGAAGTATGATCCACTTGGAATCTATTCTTCCGCTTAATAAGATGGGTAAACACATCAAATATTGCTGTCACTGAATGACCTAGGAATTAAATAGTTGTAGAATACTATGTATACACGAAAGGAATTTTGTATTTCAGGCTGTTTTTCCAAGTGGTAGAATGCTGCCATTATTTTAGCCAGAAGACAGGATTACATGAGAAACATCCGGAGACAGCACTGGTGACACTTCTGACTGGACAGAAGAGTTATGTATCTGGAGGTATCACCAGAGATGAAGCCACTAAAAGCTTCAGTTCCTTGGGGGTTGCTAAGTCAGCAGGTGAGAATGAGTTCCTTCCTTTTTTAATACAGCCATTTTATATCGGTGCAGATAATAACCTGCGTAGTTCTAGTACCAGTTCTGAAATTGTAACTTAGATAATTTATCTTGTTTGCCCTGTCTGGCTGTTGGCTCTTGTGATGAAGTTCCAAAAGTGTGATAGAATTCAGTTTTCATCATGAACTAATTTTAGGCTGCTGTTGTGATAATTAAGATGCGCTTAGTTAAAAGATATGGAGTCTTGCTCAAAGAATCATCAGCTCCTGAGAAAACAGAGCCTGGATTATCAGCTAATATAATGCACATTGTAAACATGAACGTGCTTTTCTTAAAGCATATAATTGTTCAGAAGAATTTGCCTTCACAGTAGGTGCTCAAAATGTCTCCTTTCAGCTGTTAAACAACTTCAGGCCTCTTGAAAAGATTGACACTTTTTTTAATTCACTGACATCGGTAATATATTAGTATATATAACATAGTCACAGGACATGTAGATTTACTTGTGAGTTGATCTCAAAAGAAAAATGTAAGTTCACATTATTGTACCTTACTGAAAATTAAGCATAATTAAGCCTTAACATAGTGTGGTTGACCAACTGGTGGACCAACCATCTGTGTCCATGGTCGTTTGTTAGAAAGGCAATTAATATTTTTGGTAGAGAGTGGATTTAACTCGGGGAATACTGCATATGGAACCATAGTGGATGCAATTTAGGTCAGGGAATTGCACAGATCAGGACAGCATGAATTTAAGCAGGCTCTAACAGTTCCATTCTCAGTTGATAGACATGTGATCAGTTTATTAAGTTCACTGGCACACAGTGAATAATAATATGGCACTTTTGAAATAGCACACTGCAACGTTCACTTTTTTACAATTGTGATAGCTTATCACGCATGATTTACCTTTACTAAAAGTACAAGCGCTAGTGGGACAGGTCATCGAAGTACAAATGTGAGATGTAGAGCTAGTGGAAGAAGAAGAACCAGTTACAAGTACAAATAGCAGAAGAACTGAAGAAGTCACAGGAGAAGAACTGCCATCATCATCGAGAACCACAATTTAAATAAACTCTGTAGGCGGAACTTGCCGAGATCTCTGTTAAGTAAGAATTTCTGATTGGGCCCGCATGCACCCTCAAATGTTTATAACAGTCGGACTGTGAATTTTGATAGTCGGATATGAATTCTATTTAGTCAAACAAGTTTCGTCAGTGCATTCCATAAACCGATAAACGTGTCATATAATGCACAGGCGAGATTACTGTGCTTTAACACCACCCATCCCCGTTCGTCACTTGAAGTCTGTAAAAGAAATTCGCTGCAAGAAGGTAAGAATAAGCTAATCCGAAAAGTATCCTTGTGAACAGCTGCTTCCATTACTGCAACATCAACTGGATTTGGCCATTTCTGGATATCTGTATATCATGTGTATATACCAGTGCGTATTCTGGGTTCGAGGCTGGACTACACTGCCACAGTAGGATATTTGATATGTCTCCTGTTACGTTGGATCACCACCTGAGTTGAAAGGGATTGCATGAGAACAACTCTGGAACAGAAACGACACAAATAATTTAAAATCACAATAGGTTCTAGTCATTATTTGCCCAGATTTGTCTTAGAAAAGAAAAAAAAAATGGAAATAATGAAATGACCCATCCCACAAACTCAATATAGATTTTAGAAATTGCAGTACAAGTATAGGAGAAAAGAGACATTAATTGTGTCATCCTCCGCAGTAGCACCTCACAGTAAAAAGTCCTTTATACTTGGTTCTAGACATATAGACATCTGTAAATATGAATGGCATAAGAAATGCCCGTCTTTATTCAGAGTTACTTAGTTTTCTCTATTGATTTGTTTGTGGATGTACAGTGTACTCTTTAATATCCGTATAGAAAGTAAACTACATTCAGTATTATAAGCTAAATATGCCATATTGAATGGCTTAGGTACTCAGTCACCACTAAATATGTTATTACTTATGGGAAGAAGTTATTTTTGACGAAAGAAGGACTTGACTTATGAAGTGACCTTTGGAACAACCCAGTCATAAGTGGAAGATGAAATGTACTACTACAAACACAAAATAGAGTGATTTAGGCATTATTGGAAGTTAAAAAATTGGAAAATGCAGAGATTTTATGTAATACGTAAGTGATTAAGATGGATTCAAGCATGTAACAGGGTTTCTGGATTAGTTATGTTTATGGCTTCTATAGTTTCCTTCAGCTCCTTTGACCATAAAAGAGGCTACAGTTGTGTTCTTCTGTATCTGTGCCATTCATAGTCCATTGTCATCACTTTTATAATTCTTTGTAATATTAATTTTACAACAGGCCAGTATTTAACAGTCACTAAAGCATAATCATTTTTGTTATTCAATAGCTAGGGCAGTGAAGGTAAAATATTATCATATATTATATTAATCCAGAGAACTGGGAATAATGAGATGGATTAACTGTTTAGATATTATAATAATTTCAGAAAATATATTATTCCCTTTACTTATTATTTCCCTCTTTCAGGCATAAACTTGGAGCATATAGAATCATATTATGCCAAATGGAAGACATCAAGCAAGAGTCATGGTTGAATTGCTTGCTTCGTGTGCCAGGTGGAAATGCTGGATCAAGCTGAGATACAGGCAGGAAAGAAAACCTGTAGGGATAAGAACAGCTGACGGACAAGGAATGAGGAAAGAGGAAGGAGTTACAATTGGATATGCAGACATAATAAATACAGGAAGGATGTTATGCTGGAAAGATAATACTGAATTCAGTGTAATCAGAATATAATGTTTTTCGTTGAATAATCAAGTTACTTAAGTATTTTACTTGGCATTCAGACTTGTGGAAAATTTCCAACATACATTAGACCACTTGATAAATTTCATGGTAATGTCATAAAGAAAAACATTATGAATGGATTGTAAGTTACACAGTCAGGTTCAGCAACTAAGGGGAAAGGGCCCCAACTGATTTAAAATAATTAAGTATTTCTAGAATCTTGGTGTTATACTTTCTTTAATTAAAAGAAATATGTGTAATATTTTGTGCCTTTCCTTATACCTTTGTATGTCTCCTTCTTAATGTTTCCTTATCTTTTGAAACTTGTGCCCAGGATTGGCAACTCTTGCTTTTACTTCTCATGTCTGCCAAACATATCCAAGGAACATGACGTCAGTGATGTTTTCATAATTTAGAATTCATGACTATATGAAAGCAAAGCAAGAAATGATCTTGAAGTTTTATTATGTAACAATAGGTGTGGTGTCCAAAAACTGGATTATATTATGTCTTAAAGATCATGTGTTACTGAGAATTTTGACTTGTTTTATTATTTATTTTTTACCTTGTTACCTCTCCCTATTTCCTGGTGGAATTAGAAATGTATTTGTGGTTGTGACATTATCTGACAAAGGATTATATGTAAGTAGTTATAGCCTTCTGACTTGCAATGCTTTATAGTTTGGAGAGAGCCTAATGTTTTAGAAGAACATGTGGCCTTAATACTTAAAAGCTATAATGACTTCATGAGTACCCCATGCATTGTTTCAATTTGTTAACAAAACAGTAACCCACTTTAGTGCTGAAATAATGCTGTTTGTGTGGTGAAAGTACTATATAGTGTGTTGTCTGCCAACAGCTAGTAGAGCAATTTTGTTTGGGTGGGGGCTTGGGATTAGGAATTCTAAAATGTGCCAAGCAGGTTACCCATGTAGAATGTATTCAACCTTTTCCAGACTGGTTTTTATTTAAACTAACGTTCCTGTTAGTGTGGTTACATGGCAGTTCATAATTTCTTTTATTGAAGAGATTCAGATAAACAGCCATAAATGCTGAGATATACTGGTACATATTTCTTTCACAAATTTTCTCAAACTCCAAATAAATCTAGTCTCCAAAGGGAAGTCTTTTTAGATGAATATTCTTGTGTATAGCATGGAGTGGGTTACATAGTTGAGAGGTACCCGGTTCAAATTGTGGCTGGATAGTGTACTAACCTTACTGAGATTTTCGGCCATTTTTCTCTGTTTCGCCAGATAAAACCAGGTGTGTATTGTATTAAAATAAGCATGATAACTTCAAAAGCTATCCCAAATCACATTTTTGAACATGTTAAATAATCTTTGCATTAAATACCCATCTAGTAAGGAGTAATGGCACAAAGACTATTTACCTCACTTCCTTCTTATTCAAACAGAATTATAAAAGAAGCATCTCTCAGAAATAGAATACATAAAATGAAATTGAAAATGCCTTCAATTAGTAGGATGGTCATTAACTTCAGTCACTTACATCCATGTAACTCTTTTCGATGATGAGTTCTGTAATTGTGCAGGACTCAGTCTGGGCATGGGATGGGTAATTTAATGGGTTAATATTTCAGGGTAGATTGTTGCGATTATGGGATCGGTTAAGATAGGCAATTTGCCTAGTAAAATTTTGACTCTGCCTGGAATGTTGTAGTAATGGAGAAACACACCAAAAGACAAGTCACGATGATTCACTTTGGTCATAAAGTATATTTATTGTACTACACCAGTTCATATTCCCTACAAAATTAAGCCCTGTGGCAGTGAGATGAAGCAGTATCTCCCTGTTCCCAAATACCAGGCTATGAAGATGTGTAAGTATTTTGATGGTAAAACTAGAAGCATTTTAACTGCTACTACACAGGAGGTGAGTAGTCAGTTTCACACTTATGGGTTGGGGAGAGAGACTCCATGCTCATCATTTTGCCTGCATGTTTTTATATCTTATATTAAGGTAGAGCATTTGTGGGGGGACAGTCCTATACATAATTGTGGTGTACCATCAAGTGCTCATCTTGAAGGAAATCTGGCAGACATAAGAGTATGCAGGCAAACAAGCAAGAAGGAGGGTGTATGTCTGGCCTAAGACATTTTAGCCCCTGGTACTGAGTGGGAGTCTGATGAAAGGAAAACAGAGTTGTTCTTAACATGATAAGGGCAGAAAAATTTTGTTGCTCTTAGGGGCTGAGCTCTAGTTTATGCCATACTACTCAAAAACCTGATTTCCTCCCAACTTCTCTGCCTGAGACCACTTGTATCCCACAGCCCAGATGTATGGATTCTTCAGGTTCCTTGGTGAAGAAGTCAAAGTCAAGCATTAACTTAACATTTTCTTGTTATTCGATTCTAAAGTAGTAGCTTATGTTCAGCAACAAATACGAAATCAACAGTAGAGGGATTGCTAGGAAACTGTTTTTTCTGTTAGGTCCGCCCCGAGGCTATATAATGTCATGAATCCCGCGGAAAAAATCTGGTCGTGGGCCTCAAGGGGTCTGACGCCAAGACAAACTGACTAGCGGTAAACCGCCAGTCGTAAAGTAACTGACCTTGAATGAGTTAGTTGAGAATCGACTCATTAGAGTTAGCAGTCGGGATGTGACGAGAAGATTTTACCTGTGATATATTGAGTACGTAATTCAGTGAGACTGTTATAGTTCCTGTGTTAATATCCGTTGCCAGGAAACGGTGAAGACCCTGACCGAGAACGCTAGTCTTTGTGCGAGAATGGTTTGTAAAATGTGGTCACGAGTCGTGTGCTAAAGTGCCAAATAAACCTGATTACCAATCCAAACCCTGTCTATAGTCACACACCTAACACGTGACAATAATAAAATGTGAAGTTGATAGAAGCCGTTGTGAAGGCGAGACAGAACACCGCTAGCTCTCATTTCCAAGTTACACTTCGCTGGGCACAGTCACAGAAAACCCACAAGGAGGCAACTGAAATATACCCCCCTCTCGTGTAATCTCGGAGTGTATGTAAACATATGTGAACTTCAGTCAAGGTTTTTCTACCGTCTCATAACATATGTTTTGGCCGTTATATAATAAGTGGTTGCACTGATTATACCAATGGGTCAATCTATTTATTGTATCAGATTCAAAACACTACATGTTTCGGTCTTGCTGGCAATCTTCATATCGACACATGAAGAATCTCGAATATATTGTGCTTTTTGCTGAGTATGCAGCTTAAAATTGATCCATTTTTGGTAAGTTAAAGTTTCCTAATTGGTGTTGTAAAATGTAAAATTTACAGTTTGTAAATTTGTAAATATACGTAAAACATGCACATATATACAAGTCGTGAATATACTGGGTGGTAGTTTGAGTGGTGTATTCGTCTTTTTATGCGAATTTTGGTATTATTCCTATATACGTGTGTGTAGCATAGCTGTAGGTAGTTACAGCTGGTGTGTTCAGAAGATTATCATGTTCTCTTCTGTGTGTCTTGCCCGCGTGTACACGTATATGTGAGTGTGTGGTTGTTATATGTAGCAATGCTGGTTTTGCAGTATTGGATATGCACCTTTTTGATTTCTGTGAATGTAGGTATCTAGTGTGTAGATGGTGTGTGTGCTGTGGTTGCTTTTATATGGGCTATATTTTCTGTTCGTAGCGTGTTCCATAAATAGTTTGTATGGGGAGTGGTGCGAACTTAGTGTGATTGAAGTCACACCGACCCCTAAGCTCTGTCTTGCCTACTTACAATGCATTCCTACCTTTAAGTTTATACACTTTCTCCTGGACTGCTTTCCCCCACAGCCATTTCCGCGGGGTCAGGAGTTCTCACATGAATGGAAAACATGCCAGGGTACAAGGTTGGATGGAAATATCAACGGCCAGTAGTTTGTGCGTCGAGTTCGTATTTGTTTACATCATAAAGAGATACGTCGGATTAACAAGGAGTCCTGCGAAGAACTAATCGCCTTCTTTACGTTCACTACGCTTCGAGTGTTTGATACGACAGTAGGAAAAAAACTATGCTTTATGCAGTCAATAAAACAATACGATTTGGGAGGTTTCATTGTTGCTTTTACCGATGGGAGGGATTTATGAAGTTCGACGTTGAGATTGCTTCAGTTGGCATGATGTACATACCAAGTTTCATAAAGATTGGTTCAGGCATTCAAGTAATATTAAAGTTTGAGAGGCTGCAGTGTTGGTATTGCAGATGGTACGAGTATATGAAGCACGCCGTTGAGATGGTTTCAGGCGGCATTATACTGCGTACACATACGAAGTTTCACGACGATCGGTTCAGATGTTCAATTAATACTAAGCTCATTACCTCAACTGTTTGAGATACTGCAGTGTTTGTATTATTGATGGGAGGGATTTATGAAGTATACCGTTGAGTTGCCTTCAGGTAGGATGATATACACGTACATACCAAGTTTCATAAAGATCGGTTCAGGCTATCAGAAGTGGGGAGAGGGGCGATACACAAACATACAGCAGTGCTCTCACACAGGCCTTTTTTTTTTTTCATTCTTTCAAAATAAGGTAAGTAAGCTAATAAGCAATATTTTTTAATTTAATGTATCCTTGTATCTGGCTGTGGTCCGTACTCCTCTGTATCTTACACACTTCCACAGCCACAAATTCATTCAGCAAAATGTTTTATTGAACCAGTCAAATTTTGAAGCTTCTTTATTGGATTTAAATTCCTGACAGCGGTGACTAGCAAGAGTATGAGCTCCTGTGTTGGAATATCATGCAGTAGTTTGGAGAGAGGCCGGTCACGGTAGCCGAGCGGTCTAAGGCATGTACTGTCTTCGCTCGCTTGGAAACTGGAATCGTGGGTTCGAATCCCACTCAGGGCATGGATGTTTAATTTGTGTGGGCGTTTATCTGTGTTTGTGTACAAGTAGAGTCCTTGCGACGAGCTGATCACCCGCCCAAGGAGTCCTACCGAATGTGTAAGATCTAGAAAAATCGAAGTGAACGAAGTTCATGGAGGTAGGCCTAGGCCCACTGGGGTTGTGTGCCAAGGAAAGAAAAGAGTTTGGAGAGAGCTCGACATTTCGGAGGAATATATCATCCACCTTCAAGGTCGAAGAGTTCCCGTCAAATGACGTAGTTTTAATAACGGATATCCAGTACTGTAACCTCTTAAGCTATGAAACTCGAACATGAGGATCTTGCCATATTAATTGGTCTGTAAAATTCTTGCGCGTTAATACGCTGTTAAGTTATAATTAAGGCGGTTATGAAAGCAAATTTGTATGAACGATCGGCGGGATGGGAGAAGCAAAACGCCTCCCTGTACTGGGGAAGGGCGTTTCATGGAGAAAATTGATAAGAAGGGGGCGGGGGTAAACTCATTAGACGCCAGTAATCCAGCCGCACTAAATGAGACGAAAAGTGAGGGAGGGGGTGGAGAAGTACGAGGGATTGTGAGAAGCGAATGAGGGTTCTGCTCTTTGCTCAACCGGATGATTATAATGAACGTTCGAAATTACAAAACGACAGCAGGTCTGAGTAAGCAATCTAGGTGCATTTC